TACCATTCAAAATTAGTAACTGCAGAAAACAAAAGAGTTATTTCCTTATCTCTTGATCATGTTACCTTCGATTGCAGCAATTTTGATCAACTACCTCAGCTCAATATGGGATGGGGGTTTCCTATAGTACATCCACCAGTCCGCTTTACTATTAAACAGAAGCAATTTTTGGATGTGAGTATTTCTTAATTTGAGCTCAACTATTATCTATACTATTTTTATGCACTGTTTAACCAAGTTGAAATACTATTCTCATGTTTCGCGTAGGAAAAATTGAATGATGGGTTTTTACATGGCAGATACTGGACATCAGAAACAGTTGCCCGTGAAATGCAACTAGCAAAAACGTCACAAGGTCGATTTATGTTTAATGTTGATGAATGGTTAACAACAAGCCAAGTACGAAGTTACTTTAGTCGAATGAGATTAACTGCCATGAAAAAAATCGATCAGCTGTCGTCATTTGGCGCTACACAACATACAACCATCGTCGATAATGATAATGAAGAACAACAAGAGTCTGATGAAGAGGCTAATGCCGAAGTTGATTCAGTAGTCTATATTTGCTATACATAGATAATTCTTTCTTTGTAGGAATCATTCAAAGATGATGTTGCATTACAGGAAGCTATTGAACGAATTACATTGACGAGAGAAACTAACCAAATACCAGAAAGATCAGCTAAGGAAAAAAGTCCATTATCGTCAATTCAAAATGAAATTACTACACCTAAGCGATCTACTACACCACAAAACAGAAAAGATTAAAATAGTAAAACGAATTATTAACCAAAAACATAGTCTATTTGGATATCTTTGAGAGTCGTTGAGCAATACGACATATATCACAGTGTTAAACAAGTAACATAAGATACTATTTCTTAAAACATTTACTATAGAATTTGACAAAAAAATGTTGTATTTCACAGAAGAATAGTTAGTTTGATGTGAATATTAGAGTTATGTTAATCAACGGTGATATATTTGATTTGTTAAAATATATGAAAAAAGTTTTTCGCATATTTCAAAATGGAACATATAGTAACACTTATGATATAATTCATCCATATTGAAAACAAAATAGATTCTCATATTGATCCAGTTCATTTTGTATCTCGATGCACACTAAATCAATATTGTATTCCTTTGAGTTTTTTTTATTCATCACGCTGAGCTCCAATTTAAAATCATGAAATATCTTCTAATAGTTGGATTAATATAGCATCCAATATAACGAGAAAATTTCATCTGTATAACTTTGATATGTCATGAATCATAGTTTTTTATTTAAAACACTATTAAGAGAATTACTCATATTGTTCTTACTTCATGCCATAAATTAAAACAGGCACTATATAACCAATATTATATAATACAAGTCACTATAATTTCAGTTCACTATTGCAAAGGAAACGATTGCATTCTGTCTCACAGAAATATTGACCACAATTTTGGAGTAGTTCCAAGTAATCCATATGGCCTAACATGCATATGAACAAACAAAATTTTCTTCTTGCAAAATATATATTCAACCTTTTCATTTTAACACGAAACGACATATATAGATTAGTTTCTAATTAATATTCAATAAGAGAAATAATGGAACTGAATTTTCATCAGATATGATAATTTGTTTCATTGTGTAAAAAGTCAATTTTTCATCTTTCTTTGTGATAGGAAATAATCTGATGAAGTTCGATATTGATTTTAAGAAATCACTACAAATTGGGTGTGATTGTTAGTAAATCAAATCATAAATAAAAGGTTTGTTCTAATTCAAATACTCTGAAATGAACTAAAAAAAAAGATAAAATCGTCTTTTTGATCAAAAGTTAATCTTTGTCGCAGAAATTTAATGGAATATAGCAATATTCAAATTTTGATGATTTGTCAATTGTCAATAATGTACAATAAAATATCCTTTCTTCATACTCATAGTTAGTAAAAATCCAAACAAATAAAGCAAAATAATAAATCTTGTACCATATAAAAGTCTTATAAATGCAACTACTTTAGTTTTAGAAACCATGACTTCTATGCAAAGTATTGATTGTACTACACATATTCTGTAAGCATCGCTAATCAATTAATATAGATGACTTTAAGAATTTTTGAGATAATCAGTCGGATGTATTTTTCAACATTGAAAAATAAATTTAAATTAAATTGCTAGTTTGAAAAAATTTAACGATGAAACATGCATAAAGGATATAGGGAAATAATAAAAACTATATGAAAAATATGATTATTGAGATGGTAGTAGAATATCTTGTGTGGCTCAAATGCAGGCTTGTTGCTACTTTGATTTCAATCATTTTATACTCATTGGATAGCTCTTTATTTGCTCTATCCAAATCCGTAAAGAAACTTCTGGACCCGTTAGAACTAGCAGAGAAATAGAGCTTGCAATAAAAAGAAGAACGAGAAAAAAATGCGAAAAAGCAGTAGGGTTGATTAAATTTTGAGCCTGGAGTAACTATACAATGGAGGATGCCAACAAGACCATATATACGGTTTTGTAGAGAGAAATTTTCTCTATCAAATGGTATATTACTCGAAGAGCTTCTGATAAGTCATCATGGATAAAATGGCCAAATATTGACTTACCGAATTTTTCAAAAAAAAAAATTTTTTTTTCAAAACCTGTTTAGGGTGCTTTCAGTGTGTACTTCATAACTTTTTATTGGTAAGTTAGAATGAGCTAAAACTTTGGATTTATAGGTTTCTCACTTTGCTCTTTCATTTCCAATCATCAAATATGGGGGTCAAAAGTTTCGAGAGTATGACCATGTTCGATTTTCTCATGGAACGTCTCTTAAAAGCCAAAAAAATGTTGTCGCCATTCGAAGAAATTCATAAGTTTTTAAAAAGTGTTGTCAAAAATCCTCAATAAAACCCCTAGAAATGTAGCAGGACATATGGTTCGATGCAGCTCGATCTCCTCTTTCTAATAGTGAAAACCACAGCTCTCTATCTTATTCTTGTGAAAAGTTATTCGAAAAATGGCCAGGGGTCTTCTTTTTTGAAATGGACATTAGTATGACATGGTCAATACATTTACGATTATGGAACATTATTACAAAATTGAAAATGACACGAAACTATGACAAACGAAACTGCCACTAAGTTATCATCGTCTGACTGATTGAGTAGGATTGATCTAAACTGTTTTAAACATACAATTATTCAATTTTGCCGTCCAATCTTCTTCGAAATCGATCTCACGGATGGAAATGATGCTCTGAAAAATATTTTTGTATTCTTGCTTTTGATGTATGTGCCATTTTAGGAAATTATTTATGGAAATTATATGAGTCTACAATGCCTCAGTTTCGATCGTTAGTATGATGAGTTCAATGAAGGGTAAAAATCTTTTTATTGTAGAATGTACTTTTAAATATTTGCATGCTTCGAGGTTATTATTCAATTGATCTTTAATATTGAAAAGAACTTCATGAAAGTCTTTTTTCCTTTGGTCCGTCTATTTTTCAGTTTGACACAACAGTGTACTTGATAAACACACCATAGAATGTCAGTTGTGGTGGTCCTTCAAATTTAAGAACAACTTGATAATTCGAATCCGATTTAGCCGTAATTATATTCCCGATGGGTTGAAGTTCAAACGATCCTTGTGGAGATACTTGACAAACACGTGAGATAGCTAACTTCATTTGTTCATTGTCCAGACGAATAGAAAAAGGTTGACGCTTTTGTGTATATGGTGTTACGATGGTCACTATCAATGTATTCACTGGATAATTCCAAAAGATTGACCCAACGTTGCAGGATGCTAGCTTGGTTTCGGCTAAATTGAGCGTTGATTTTTGGCATGAAAAAGGAGTACCGACTCCAATCGCACATGTGCCCTGATCAAAAAAATTAGCTTTGCATACATCATTGCTCACCGGTGCTGCATAAGTAATTGTACTCGTAAATACTGCGATGAAGAGAAATGTTAATGAGAGTGAAGAGAACATTGTATTGATGAAAATACTAATAGATCGAAAAGAATACGGAAGATATATATGTGTCTCAGTTTGATGTTCTGTATTTATACGATTGATCGAATAAGTATAGATATTATTCCCATAGACAATGTGGATATTATGAGAAATGGGAAAAAAGTATTCACTCCCTTCACCTTCGTATATCGTCATAGGTGAAAGCTATTCACAATTGGGTTTTTAACCAATTATATATATGATTCATGTGAAACGGCTCATCTGTTTTTCGTTACTATGTCGTCATATTTTTAGTTCTTCATACAGAACGCCACGAGGATGGTGTTGCAATAACGATGGTGATCAGTTTTTGTGCATATCTGTTGTTCTGCATCGGTCACCTTTTATCCAAGATGGTTTTACTCATTGAAGAATGATTGAATAACAACTGAAAACACTAGAAAAGATTCTATTTGAAGTGATTTTTGATTTACACCAGATAAATTAAGGAAATTAATGATGAAATTTCTTAGCGTCAAAAGATATCATTCATTGACGCTAAACTTATAATCATGTATTATCAGTTATTTAATTCTGTTCGATTTTTTTTATTATTCATTTTGTTATGGCTGTCTCTCGTGACTCATAAATCTCAAATCTTCACGGTCTGAACCTTTTATGATTTGAATTTGTCGTTGCAGTCTTGTTAAACACGATGCTACAGTGATCATATCATTGTCCTCTGCTAGGACATCAACAGAATAGAAAATGATCTCAAGTTTCAAAGATTTTTAATAATTTCTTCATTAAAGAAAAGATTTTTTTGCGTGAAATTGTATTTAATTGTTGATGTCAAAAGTGTTGTTAAAAAAAACAAATATGGAAGGTGCAAAACAAAGTGAAAGAAAGATAGAGCCACTTCGCAGATCTTGTTGGTCTCAAACGAATGAATTCATTTTGATTTCAACACCATTCATTCTTTATTTATTTTAGATTATCTTCTATTTTTATTTTATGAATTAATCGACGATTTTAATTTCTTCATCGTTTATAAACTAACTGATAAGTTTAGTTGTATTTCCAGAGAGAAAGAATAGGATGAAGATAAAAAAATCTAATGAAACCAACTTAAGAATTTTTTTATATCACATATCTTCTAATAGAAGAAATCGATGAATGAATTAACTTCTTGAGATTGAAACGTAAATTTCGGAAAAGACGAAAAGTTTGCCTTGATATTAGAAATATTTCTAAATTATTCTGTTTGTTTAACTTGTCTAGGAAAGTTGTTTATTTGGAAAAACGAGTTAATCTCATTTGAAGTTACTTAAGACTCCAAAAATGG